ACATTTTCTAATAAAAGAGGTTATAAGTACTAGAACCTCCCTGTATGAGCAAAATATGCCCACCTGGTGTTGTTTTAATACAACAAGACTAAATAAATCAAAACATTCCACATGTTAGTAAAAATCTACTTTCATACTCTGAAGGACTTAGATTCACTGGTCTTGTTCACATGTGGACGCAGAGATTAGACTCTTAAATTTCTTGTGAGGCTAGTACTTATTATTTTATTATGCTTTTTGACGGAACATTTGTCATCAATTGTCAAACTGCTGTTATCCTCATTCCAAGGTATCGATCTGCTTAGTTATTTGAACACTTGTGTTTGCTTGAACATGATTAGGTAATATCCACTTCTATAAAATGTGTAAGTAATTTTACCAACTGATCCAGAACACCTGTTCACCTATTCACAATTAAATGTCACTCTTTGCTGTCACTAGTATTTCAGTTCATTTCACAATTATTATTTCCTATTTCCACTTTTTTCGTGTTAATCAATCAATATAGCTGGTAATCCAGTATTTCAGTAATTCAGATAATCCTGGTCAAAAGGGTGACCATAGGTAGTGATTCTTACAGCTGAATGAAAAACTGGAACACTGGAGGCCTTCAGGGGTTGCTGCTTTCTTTCATGTCTATCCTTAACACTCGATGGTAGCAATCATTTCTAAAACTGTGTAGCTTCTTATAGTTACAAATTCGTATTTCTTTTTAAATCATGTCCATGTCTACTATAATTGCATTCAAGTAGTATGACAATCTTATAAGTATTTTGTTCTTATACTTAGTGTATATAAGACGTGGTGAAACTGCTTTCCTTGGTTTTAATGAAACTTAACCTCGAATATTAATAAGACGAGTAAATAATGCACTACTGTGTCAAGTATCATAAAGTCAACTAGTTGTCATAATCTGAAATAAAAATCAATATGAAAGAAAAATATTCTTTTCAATCATTTCTCTTCAGGTTCTTACAATTATAAAATATAATATTTGTTGTCGTTGCAATAATGGCCAGTTACGCAAAGGGGAAAATTTTTTCGTAGGTTCATAGATTAGTTATAGGGTGTCAGAATAAATAGTCGTTTTTGTGTGACAAACGCATTGGGCTGAAATCTATTGCAAAATATTGTAAAATGGGAGACAGTGGTGGCGAATAGTCATAATGCCATCATAAATATAATACACTGAGCAGCTGAATACTACTACCTAAGCAACTGTCAAATAAAAAATGTATGCTTGAGCCACTCTAAATCTAAATGTTGACTGAAACTGTGTATCTTTTCATGCTTCACAGTATTGAAAATGAAACCCGGGAAATCGAGGTTTCTGCAAATGCCACGTTAAAACTCACACAGTTTTTATAAGTCCCGAAAATAAATAGTTTAATATCACTAAAGGAGTGGATGTTCCGAAATTGAATCATTAAAACAAAAGGAAAGAAACCAAACAACTCCCTTCCGTAGCATGAAGTACCGAAAAACTTTTCTGAAAAGCTCTGTGGCATAGTTGCTGAAATTCAATCTACTGCATTTCACCCCAACATTAGAAACCTGCCTATACTAGATTTAAGCAGTTAGTTGAGTCATACTGAAGCATTTTCTTATATAGTACGGCATTTGCTTGTTAATCTACTGCTTGCTGATGGAAAGTGGCATGCAATCTAGAACAGCATGAACACGTAGTTTTGCATTCAAAAGTTTTCTGTCTAACTTTTGAAATATGAGTAGTCATCTCTATTTCATTAAGATGCATCATTCTATTACTTGCGAAGTTATATCAGTATTAGCAGTTTTCTTAGAAAATCCAAAATATTAGGACTACAACATGTGGTCTGTTAAACGCAACAAATATCAATGGTTCCCAACTACTCACATTGATCACTAGTATATACCATCATGCAACTCATGTCTTCATCGACATACACTGAATTTATTCAGAAACATACAAATTCATGACACTGCACTTATATGATCTAACTTTCATTCAAACCAGGAATTAACACTGATGATATTATCCAACTAGATATTTGGTCGTTCAAACCAGCTGACCATCAGGCCCATATGCATTTTATTTAGGAAGTGTATAGTGTTCTTTGATGATACTGGAAAATATTAGTTATCACTTTATTCCAAACAGCAATAATTATGCGGAATGGAATTTACAGTGTTGTACATACTGCACCAATTTATCTTCTTCGACAAATAGATGAATAAAATGGTATAAATAAGAAAACCGTAAAAAACTAAAGTTAACAGTAAAACAATATATATGTAATAATAATTCTGGTTATAAGTTGATGTTTATTTACAAATTGTCAGGTAGGTTTATAGGGTATTTCCGGAAGTTTACCTCTTCACACAACACCCGTGATAAATACGGCATGGTTGAACTTTTACATATTACTATACGAGTATAAATTCCTATGAAATTTTTTCTGGTTTCACCAGAAGGGATGCAAGAAGAAAAATGCCAATAAAGAGGATGTTCAGTAATCGACAAGACGACTTCAGCCAAAAGTTCGGAAGAATTAAAATACCTATCAGTAACAGTGTCAGTTAGCTGAGTCAAAGAAAACCTACTGAGCACGGTGTTTCTAAAAAATAGTCAGTCGGCAAGTCTTGTCGTTAACAGTGTAGGAAGTTGACAGAGAAAATGAAGTTCGCTATCTTTTCCTTGCGAGACAAACACATTAAGCAATATAACACTGGTGAAATATTTTAGTAAATATCTTCAAGGAGAGGCATCCTGATGGAGTGTAGCTAAACAAGAATTAGACAAATTGACCTGCACAAAATGTTCAATAGTCGAAAATTGCTGTACTTAGAAACTTTACAGACTTAGTGAAATGTTTAAGGTGATTAAAAGTGATGCTTTCAGTGCTTTATCTGTTCGTATTTGTGTATATATTTCTTTTCCTGTCAAATATTTTTGCTAGAAAACCACTGGAAATTCTGGGCGTACTGGACGGCTGTTTCGTCCTAGTTTGCGACTCTTCTGCAGTATGCATCCACCGGGGTTCGAACCCAGGACCATCCGGTTACAAGTCGAACTCGTAGACCATTGAGCCATTGGGACTCAATCCAATGGCCAGTCCATGAATTCTTACTTCTGCCAGTTCAATGGCAGACCAACTCAGTGGTCTAAGAGCTGGCCTTGTAACCAAAAGATCCTAAGTTCGAACTAGGACGAAACAGCCGTCCAGCACTCCCGGGTTTTCTAGTGGTTCTCTAACTGATGTCAGCTCATGATGAAATCTTCCATGCAGTCAAACATAATCCCCATAAAACCAATACTTAAAAATATTTTTGTCCGTGAATATAACTCATAACCTAGTGCGTTCCGGTTTCTGGATCTGTTCATCCAGTCTTCTTAGATTGTTTTCTGTTCTCTAGATATCATTCCGATTTCTTTTCTACTCCTTGGTGTACTATATCCAACTGTATATATACCATATCAGACAAGTTTATCTGACACAGCATGCAGTGAAACAGAATTAATAACTTGATGACTTATTCACTCACTTTACACGATTTTACTCCCCTCTGCTTTGATTCCATCACAGAATAATTTTATCTGATTCATCAGTAAATAATACTGTATCACTTTGTGTTGATATATAAATAAAACTGTGTTCTACCTTAGTGTTCGATGTCCACTCTTGCATTAAACCCATTATTTCACACAAATGACCTTGACAGAGGAAATAAAATCAACATAGTAATCAAGGTATTAGGAAAGTCGACATTAGATCGAATGGATTATTACCAAAGAAACAATAATTCAGCTTCAGATTCTTGTACATTACAACCTCAAATTACAAAAATTCATAAATATAAAAAAGTCCCACAGATGGAAATGGGAAATTCCTGTCTGAGAAAGGTAGGTGAATAAGAAATCATGATAAAACTCACCAGTATGTCAGGCTATTAAGCAGTAGTATATGGTAACTTCTGAATGAAATAACCTATAAAATGAAAATCACAGTATAGCTTAATTGAGTAAACAGTGTTGGTTACTTACAACACATGGAACTGATCCATAAACAAGAAAGTAGGTGAGTGGACATACGAGTGAGAATTTTAAATTCCTTCTATTTACTGCAGTACGTAAATAGTAAGAATTTAAATACATAGAGTATTCAAATTTTGGTATGTTAGCTTTCTGTGAGCTTGGTAGTAGAGTTGCATAGTTTTAATTGTCTATCTAGACATCTCCAGTGTTAACTTCAAATTGAAATTGTCATCCAGCTGTTTTGTGGGCAAACAGTTAAAGCTTCTCACATGAGCCCATCGCTGAGAATGTAATAGAGAAGGAACATATAGGCTTTAGAATTAAATTATCCAGCTCAGAGAACACAGCAACTGAGCTACAAAAACGGTCCATAATCTTAACGTTCTGTGCTTATTTTCATCAGTAAGTCATCTCAGAACAGTAGTCATTATAATTCCTTTAGAAATGACAAATAAAGCAAGTTGACACTCATGGAATAATGACATACAGTATTTGTCACTTAAATTATTAATTTAGCTCTCCACAACAACAAAGAGTATCTAAACCGCTAATCATATCCATCTCAACTATACATTATCCATGTGCCAATGAAAATTGCATGCTAACTAATTTCTTAAGCAGATTAACTAGTGAGCTACATTCTGAGTTGATGTATGAAATTATTGAGAACTACACCTAAACAATTAGACTATTCACAACAAAACTATTTGTTAAAATCTGAAAGAGAGTCTCATGTGCAGTCAAATTCATAACAGTGTGGTAGAGTTTCAAAAGTATTCTCAATGCCAACGTTGTTAATGTACTGGCCAGTCGTATATTATATGTACACTCCATAGATGACACTGATTAGTCTGTAAAAGCAAATAAACTCATAGTTGCAAATACGTTTCAGTCTCCTTTTGCCATGAATTTTATCAGATGATACATAGAAAATTTATTATTTCATTTTTATAGAATCTTCGTTGTTATTTTTCTCAATTTTTAGACGCAGATGAATTTCCGCCACCACCAGTGACAGCAGCTGGTGTTAGAGTGAACTATGAACACTCACAAAATCCTTATCAGTTAAGTGTACAAGGTGGTGCACAAACAATAAATCCTAATCAACAAACTGGTAAACGCTTAAAGCGACCAACGTATGGTTCAGGACGAAGATATTCAACCTCCATAGGCAATACAGCGTTAGGAGCTGGTAGTATGCTGGGTGGAATTAATCTACAACTACCTCAGTTGGATGGAATACAACGTATGCAGAAGATATTAGATATGCGTCTACAAAATCTTCAGGTAGATCGATGTGATAGAAAGATTCACTTTCTTTAGTTTATGTTATAAAATTAACTGACGTCTTCTGCCTGACTCGATTTATTCACTCACTTCGATATAAAGAGCCTTGGGTTTATTAAGAAACATGCGAAACTAACGAACAACATCCTGGTGAAGGGACTTTTCTTTTGTATCAGTCATAGGTGGAAGTACTACATTAGTATTTATACGCACAATTTAGAAATATAATAGTAAAACAGAGGAAATTACTAGTTTATGATGTAGTAGTGGAACAGCAGAAGGCAAGGCACGGGAGCAAACGTATATTTTTAATCGATCAAAGCGCTATTTATTCCTAAACAGTTTTAATTCCTTAACCAATCACTGAGCTTGTGATTTTGGTTTACACGATACGATGTGAAATAGAATGTTCAAATGCATACATACTATTATGTTGCTAATACAGTATCAAATTGTGGGAACATGTGAGAATAATATTCCACTGGAACACATTGTCTGTATCACACCATCACATTGGTAAAATGTATCTGGGATTCAGAGGTGATAGTGCAATAATTTGATGAGTATTAAAAAAATATATAGTTAATGGAATCAAATGATTAAAAACAGAGCTGTTGAACAATTTAAAATGTCGTCTAAAGCTAAAAGACAGTATTCAGGAGTGTATTTCGATAAAACAGTGTTCGTGCAGAACATACAACCAGTTGCGGGGGCGTAGATGAACTATCAAACACGCAAAAAAGATGACTTGTATCATTTTTAGACTAGATGAACCACCCTAAAGTTTGTTGAAAAGCAGAATTAACTGTGAAGTGTTCCTGATATTGCATTGGATAACAGAACATCTGGTGAATTTAGGACATTCAGCCCCATTTGAAAAGTCCTTCAAAGCCATATACAAGATCCAATCAAACCTATCAAAGGGAGTGAAATCAAGACACCTAGGAGTAGCTGAGGCACTGACTATTCAGAAACTCAAGCCTACTCTATGTCCAACTGTTGTCCCTACCGTGGTCATCATGAAAAATCAGTCCCACAGACAACGATTATCCTATTACCTTTCTTGTCCAGCCTTCCCATTTATTTGATATGTTTACCTTTCTAAATCCCTATCTGCATTATTAGATATGATTATTGTTTTTACTTTTACATGTTCGAACCTCCTATCCATTGCGTTAATACTACGTCCTTAATCCGTAATTGTACAACCTGACGAGTTTTCCAGTAATTATAATCCTACTTTGTCTTTTCTACCCGATCTTCCTGATTATTACACATTGGAATCCTTAATTTGACCTTTGACCTGGAATATTTCTAGAATAGTACCACTACCTATCTTCTGTTTATTTATTAGTCTGACCTCTGACCGGAAACAACTCTGAAACTTTCTCAGTTCGTCGAAAAGAAAATTTTCTTCGCTGCAACCGTCCTTTTAATAATTCCAGTATTTATAAATGTTGTCCATTTTTAAGATAGTAGGGATTCATTAGTGGTGCTATTCATGTTTCTCACCATAAATCAAGAGGAATAACCTCTTGGGATAACCTTTCAGCGTACACTTCCCTCAGTACTTTTCAGCCGTTCATTCGTTGAATCACTTGTACAGAATCGTATGTGTCCCATAACTGTAAGAGCTTTCTTTCTCAGCTTAGACATCTGCACTTATTTGCTCTAATCAGTGTGATTTTATTTTATTTATGTACCCTCTAAAAGTAAGCGTAAACGACATTAATACCATATGCCAACTACTTTGGACATCATACAATTCAACAATCTCCAACAGAGATCAGTACAATCTGTTGCTCAGTGAAGCACTACAAACTAAATTAAGCTTTTCAAAATAAATACTCCCAAAATAAATGTAGTAAGAAAATACGTCTTTGTCCTGCAGCTACTTGTTTTGTTCTCTCCAAAACTGGAGTTTCCTGTCATCAACCATCCAGGATGAATTCAAAGTACACAACTGCGGTCTAGATTTTTTTTAATATCCTAAGAAGTGTCGCCAAAACCGAGACGGAAAGTTAAGAACTTGAAACCTGATGGCAGCTCGTAAGCAGTCCTGAGTACGCGAAATACCCCTCAAGAGAATAAATAACCTCTAAGTTCATGTGCATCCAAAATTACTATGCCAGTACTGGCTGCTTTACAGACGGTGTTACGAGTGTCTGACCAAAAGATGTCCTCTGAGGCTAATAAAATGAAGACGGTTAATTTCGTACCATCTGGCTAGTATGTACTGACTTGATCACTCACCCTTCGGGAGGAGTAGACATACTTGGTATTCTGACGACAAAAAACAACAGTATCTTGATTGACACCATTGGATACTGACGCTCAGATTTCACACATACCGCCTGCTTTCACAATCACTTCCTCAAATTCCTTTTCAGCTGACTATCTTTTTCCTTCTGTAAAAACAGGTTTAGTTCATTGGAGTAATGGCCATTGGCAGATACTGATACAAAGTCAGATTCGTATTTCCTTGACTGCTAAACATTCATTGATTTCTAGCAATTTGCAACTGCATGATAAATGACTGATGCAACTGCTGCAGGCAGAGGATAATGATGACTATGAAAATCTGGTCATTGGACACTTTTGTTAAATGGATAAGGATGAATTACTTGTAAAATTGTAAGATTAGCAGTGATAAATTTATTACTTATGGCTACACATAGAATTTTAAATTATCATACTCATATGAATCCTACTATTTAAAAGTGAAAGAATTTGACTAGTACCATGTTTGTATCGGCTGCACGCAATAAAGATAAAGTGCCAAAGAATCTCATCAGAGCGCAACTAAGTATTAGCTAAGACTTACTTTCGCAACTGTCAGTCGAAAAAGAAGCCTGATAATGCAATGCGTAGAAAAATATGTGAGAGAAATTGTCTTCTGGTGAAACAACTGGGTGTTTGGGCTACCGGTGAAAGACGTGTAGCTAAGTTATTCAAATACAGCGGAATACATGTGTCTAAATTCCAGTTCAAGCGTAATGGATAGCTTGACAGTATGCCAATACTTATGGAACAATTAATTACAAAATAATGAATACTGGATAACAAAGACAAACAAATTTCTCTTTCCTTTTTCCATAGGCTCAGTCGGACCAATTGAACCACGCATCTGGTAATGCAAGGATCAAAGAGGAAATATCTCATGTGCGTCAACTGATTGGTGAAAGTCAGAAAGCTTTATCTAGCATCGTCAAGGCTGTGTCGCAGATGCAAGATCAAGTGGGTTCATTAATATTCAAAAGTTATTGCTTTTTTAAGTTTATATATATATATATATATATATATATATATATATATGTTAGGAATTATCAGCTGAATACAGTCCATACTGCACGTGCTTAGTGGTAGACACATTTATCATCATCATAAGGAGCTACAAATTTAATGGCCAGTTCAAAAAGCATATGCTTTCAATCTATCCACAGATAACATACATTCTCGTCTAAGCCATAGTGATAACTTTTGCGACTAATATTTTATCTCATGAATAATTCCCATTCGAACATTGTCTTCTGTCTACTAATATTTTATCATCAAGTGCTGGTTTGAAGGAATTTCACTATATTTGATCAATGATAAATTATCAACAGTATAAAGAAAAAACCCATAAATAAACGCAATATATAATTTTACTTCAAGTTTAAACACGCAGTGATATCAGTTAAAGATTCATTGAGAACCAGGGACAATTATTTTCCCCTACTTTGAGATTCATCACCATCACGCACCCACTGAGGTTCGGACCCAAAACCTACTGGTAACTATTTAACCTCGCAGACCATTCAGCCACTGGCCCCAACTCATTGGCCCATGAATTCTAACTTCTACCAGTGAATGATTTTCTAGCGCGACTACCAGCCAATGTCATCGGTGGAACTTCCATCCTCATACTTGACTGGATGGACCCCAGTGGTCACAACTTCTCACTAGAACTTCAAGTAATTTCGTCTTACAACCAGTAACTAGTAAGCATAAGATTATTTTTAAGGAGTTTGTTCGCAGGACGAAACAGCCATCCAGTACTCCCTGGTTTTCAATAGCTCTGTAACTGAAATCGATCCGTGATCAAACTCGTAATAAATTAAATACCTACGAACAAACTCTTTAAAATATATTCTTACGATTGATCAGCTCGAATCACGTCGAAAAAATAACAACAACTAGGGATCGAGTACACAGTAATCTGACATTTATCAGAAAATAATAACAAGCTCCTGTCACTAAGGTGTAGTCTATCGAGGAAGTTAACTCTGTTAGGTATTTCACTTAGTATAGACTTGAAACAATGTAACTTTTCGTATGTCTCATAGCTGATATTTACATTTACAATCCAATTTATTAGAAAGGAGGGACATAGTCCTAATTCAATTCCAAATTATGTAGGACTCTATTCAAAGTTTGTGTTACATTTGAAGTTAGACGATAGGACAACTGGGGTTACTTTTCCAACGTTACTTATATAACATGACCACAAAAAGTGAAACATTCGGGAAGAATTCAGCATATCAGAGAGATGCGCTTATGAGAGTTTGATCTTATGTCAACTAAGGAGACTACGAATCTTACCCTAATTACATTAAGGAGACTAGTCGGCTTAACCGATCAAAATGTCGAGAAACTGAATTTTAAAAAAGTCACATGGTACTAAAACTCACTTTCCGTTCATATAGTTAGAAAACTGAAAAGTGGCATTATAGAAACCGTATTACTACCTCTGAATTTGTTCCTCTGGGGGATTTAAATCTTACATTCATGCACCAAACTTCGAATTGTCGTAGTCAGCTAAAGAAATTATACAAGAATTAGAGAGTATTGAATCCAGTTCCTTTTGGTCAACTTGTTGTGAACTGGTAGATTTTCCAGTAGAGTTTTTAATAATGCTATAGTCATCTTCTTGAGAGAGGTTTCAAAACTGAAGAAAAGTGTGTTTTCGTCAGATTTTAAATGAATTCATTCTTTCAAGTGGTTGATTAGTCTAACATTATGTAGCTGTACCAATTATTTCACACTCAGAATGTCGTTTTTCTAATAATTTTCGATTTTTCTCTCATTTTATTATCAAGGTTGTGCAGCTAAATACAAATATGGAACAATGGATATTAGCTCAAGCAAGCGGACGTGAAATTCGCACTGTATTTGTTGAAGAACGTAATCCCAGTACAAAATCACAACGTGACAGACACCGCCGTGATCGTAGAGATAAAGATCGTGAATGGGATTCATTTGTACGAGAAGCATAACAAACAGTCTTCAGTGGCACAAACATACATTTGCATGATACTGTAAAATTTTGTTTGCAAAGTACCGGATGTGTGGAAACTTCTTTACCCTGAAAAGGACACTTTTTTTTAAAAGAAAATAGTAAATTAAAACCACTACCTACTATATTCATTTATAAGTAGTCTATGCAAATATTACATAAATGCAAAAGTATTCTAACTAGTCACTGTCAAATTTAGAAATATGAGAAAATTGGGACATACCATCTGTGATGCCTTAAAATAATGTGACAGAGAAAATGAACAAACGTATAAAGAAAATGTAACATTCTTCCTTTACTCTTGTAAGTGGTTTCTTAAAACTAAATCTTTAAAAAAAAATACACGAAGATGAGATTGTCTCCATGTCTCAGTGTTTCTTCAACATGCATTCACTGTAAGACTATTCGCAATGTATACCGAATCTCACTAAAGAAAAGAATAATGGGAAACTACTTCATTACGTTTTGGAACACTTAATATCACTATGGAAATATTAGTGTGCGAAGAAATAGCAAGAAATGGAAAAATGGCATTAGTCCTTAGTAGAACACGTCGCCCGTTAAGCCTTATGGTGAAAACTGATCCTCAAATTTTATAGTAAGTGAAATAATCACTAAATGGAACACAACTCTGGTAGCTCCTCAGAAGAGACAGTTGGCAAGTTCCACGGGACGCTTTGATGAACACTTAAAATGGTCTTCGCCTATTCAACCTGCTATTTAACCTCACCCATAAAAGATATGCAGAGAGCGCTCCCTGAAATGTAAACAAAGTTGTAAAAGCCCTGAATAAAATCAAAACCCAGAAAAGCCGAGGGATCTGACGATTTTACTTCAGAAGCATTTAAAGGTAGTGGTGATGAATTACTGATTAGGTTAACTAAGAAATTAGTTGTTGTGTTGCAACCCAAAATAGTTCCATCATATTAATTTACTTCACGAATAATCCCCATCCAGGCATTGATGAAAGCAAAACACGTAGTTCAGAGAAGAGTTTCTTCTAGGCGATTTCATTTTCTAAACTGTACAATCGCAAATATGTATGAGTTATTTTGTATGCACGTGTACATTAAGTTTGTCGAACAAAAATACAATTAGTTATGATTATTTTAACTAAACAGGTGAAAATTAGTAGCTTTTTGGTCGGGTTGCGTAATACAAAAAAGGTCAAGAGGATTGGGTGTTAATGAAACTAGTGTAGTGTCAAAGGTGATGAGTTGTCACAAACAGTTTTTAAAAATGAATTACGTAGTAATATGAATATTTTGATGATTGAGTTGTACTCAGGATACACATAGGAACAAAGTAGTGAATACGAAATCACGTAAGAGTTCTAAATGAATACGAGAATTATAAGCAATTAAAGAAGCAAATAAATAAATAAAATTAAGTCATCAAAAATCAACAAAGTTGATACCATGATAATAGAAGTAGATGACTGATTCTTTTTTGTATGTACAGCTCCGGTTTCATTAACATCCAATTCTCTTGACCTTTTTTGTATTACGCAACCCGACCAAAAAGCTACTAATTTTCACCTGTTTAGTTAAAATAACCATAACTAATTGTATTTTTGTTCGACAAACTTAATGTACACATGCATACAAAATAACTCATACATATTTGCGATTGTATAGCTAAGAAAATGAAATCGCCTAGAAGAAACTCTTCTCTGAACTACGTGTTTTGCTTTCATATTAGTTTACATCTCTAAACACCACAATTTATAAGGAACAAAACATCTTCTTGAGACAATCAATGAAGACCAAAATGGCTTGGGGGTATCTAAGATTTTAGTTTCCAGAGTCATGAGTAGGCCGCGTTGATCACGCGCAAAACAAACTTGACAGAACCAGGCTAGTTATGTATCTGTACAAAGGTGCATTGAACAACTTTTCAGAAACCTAGATGTGCCTACCGAATTTCAACACTTTCAGTATTTCTTAACTTGACGACAGCATTCGAATCCATCTATAGACAGGTGCTGTGAAGGTATTTGACCACTGAAGTGAGTGTTTAATCAAAGCACACTACTAGAACTCATGTAACTTTTTAAGGGTTTATGAATATGCATCATTCGAAGTGACAAAGATCAGTGCCTACAGTTAGGTTTTCAGTATGCAGACATGATAGATCTACTAGATAACGAAATTTACAAGATGTTGATTTCTGGACACCCCAAAAGGAAATCTAAGTACGTTTTGAAATGTAAGATGATGCTATTAGGTTGACCTCCACCTTAGACTAGCAAGTGTACTGTGTGAAATGGACACCTTCACTTACTCCCTAGGTCGCATTATTCCTAAAAAACTGGTTGCTGAGCGAATACCATCATAAATGTAACAGGCTCATAGGTGTCAGCTAGCTGGGATTATGCATAGTGTAGATGTTGAATCTGGTTACCCAACAAAAGTTATGTGTACTCTTAGTTTTCAGCTGCTATATAACCCTTGAAAGTAGACACAAAATAAATGGGTTCTGTATCAGAAATGTTTTCTTTCCGTTTATCACATCGGATAGAGAAAAGGTGTAAACAGTAGTGAGGTTGGCCAAGGAATATTAGATAATAAAGGGATAAGAATCATTCAAATAATTTGTGCTGAATCATTGATTAAGGTAGCTAGGATATGCATTACAATGAAGACCCGCCAACCTTCGCCACAAGGTAATTTTGGTTGTTGGTAATTTTTGGTTGGTAATTTTTTCGAAGATGGCCTTTCAAACTCCTCCTTTCCATAGTAGAAATGAAGAATAGCTGTTACTCTACTCACCTAAGTGAAAACTCTTACTGCTTTTTGATATGTATCCACACATATATATTTATGTGTGTGTGTGTATGTTGGTCTCTCTTTCTGTTTGCTCGGTTAGTCTGTGACCACTTCACTTGTATGAACTTGTCTCCTTTAATAATGTATATTCTTCTTATATTATATTATATATAATATGAGTGTTTGTTGACAGTCCGTTGCTTGGTGACATATATCCATATATGTTTGTTGGCATGTCTGCTATATTCGCTATGTATAATTGGATCGACACTCCATTATAATTAGCCATTCATGTTAAGACTGTCTAATGATTTTTCCCACGCTTGTCTGAATTATTTATATATATTCGCATTCACAATTTGTGTGAACTACTTTACAACTTAAATTGTTATGTACTTGTCGCTAAATTATTGTTATGGACTGGTCGAGAAACTAATAGTCCTAACAATAATTTAGCGACAAGTACATAACAATTTGGCGACGGGGATGGGATGCTGGAGGCCCCGGTACGGGAGGTAGCTGGTGGGGTAGCTTTGCTGATTGTTGACATTTTGAACATCGTTGAACAAAGTCGATAATATGCTTATCCATATTAGGCCAGTATGCGTAGCTGCGAGCAATACTCTTCATCCGCTGAATACCAGGATGTCCCATGTGAAACTGTTTCAGGAGTTTATTTCGTAATGCTTCAGGTATCACTACGCGTTCTCCAAACATCAAGCAATCTTTTACAACACATAAGGAATCACGACGGGCAAACAGGTGTTTTAGGTCTCCACTATATTTAATCTTTGGCCAATTACTGGATACATACTGTGTAGCACGTCGTAAGGTGGCATCGGTGCTTGTAGTTCGCTGGATTTCTGCAAACGTTACTGGTAGAGATCGAATAGCATTGTCGATGAGGTTAACTGCATAGTCTTTGGTGGCGATCGATGCAATTACCATATCTTCACTTGATGCAGGATAGTCGCTAATTAGCCGAGATAGAGCGTCGGCTTGACCAAATTCGTTAGTTCGGTTGTATTTAATATCGAAATCGTATCCAAGTAATATTATTGCCCAGCGTTGTAGTCGGTTAGCTGCATGTACCGGGATACCTGATTTAGATCCGAAAATGGAAAGTAACGGTTTATGATCTGTCAGCAAGGTAAATCGGCGGCCGTAGATCATTTTATGAAAACGTCGTACGGCGAAAACTAAAGCTAAGGCTTCTTTTTCAATTTGTGCATATTTCTTTTCTGCCGCAGTTAGTGTTCGAGATGCATGCATTATTGCTTTTTGTGAACCATCTGGGAAGACATGTAAAATGACAGCTCCCACTCCGCTTGCTGAAGCGTCCGCTGCAACTATAATTGGAAGTGTTGGACTATAATGTGTCAGAAGCAATTCAGAAGTTAACATAGACTTCAACTTTTCAAAAGCTGATCTGCAAGCTTCGGACCATTTCCAGGTTGCATTCTTTTCGAGTAGTCGATTGAGGGGGTGTCGAACATTATGCAGCGCAGGGAGAAATGCAGAGTAATAGCTAATTAATCCCAAGAAAGAGCGTAAGGAAGGCACATCAGTAGGTGCGGGCATCTCTTTTATAGCACGTATGTTGTCAGGATCTGGACGTCTACCCGATGCATCAAATATAAATCCAAGGTATTTGACAGATCTCAAGGAGAACTGACACTTCTCTGAGCGTAGTCGTAGACCGTTGTCCTGCATGCGTGACAACACAGCTTCTGTCCTGCTGTAAAGTTCGTTTATAGAATTCGCTACCACCAAGATATCATCAAGATAGACGGCAACACCCGGAATACCTGCCAAGATAGTATCCATCAGTTGTTGGAAAATAGCTGGGGCAGTTTTAACTCCGAAAGGTAATCTGTTGTATTGGAACAAACCGCGATGTGTATTAATGGTAAGGAGTTCTCGGCATTCTGGGGCTACTTCCACTTGTAGATATGCGTCAGCAAGGTCCAGTTTTGCAAAATAAGATCCACCATTTAAAACAGTGAATAAATCATCCGGTGTAGGTAAAGGATAGTGGTGCTGTTCTAATGCAGCATTCAACCCAGTAGAGAAATCAGCACAAATACGTAGGGACCCATTCGCTTTCTTGACAACGACGATGGGTGCTGCCCATGCCGAGTACGTGACTGGTGTTAATACGCCTTGTTGTTGCAGTCTCTCCAATTCTTCGTCAACTTTTGGTACAGATGCATATGGAACTGGCCTCTTTGGGCGAAAAACCGGTTTTGCGTCTGGTAATACTCGAAAGGTAGCTTGCAGCGAGGTACAGTGACCTAATCCGGGCTGAAAAACAGGTGCGAATAGTTTGCATAAATCAGAAAAGGAGTTGGCTGAATTTTCATCCTTGTTAACTGCGTTGCATACAGAACTAAGTGGGACATCAGCCAGATGTAAACGATCGAACCAATCAAGTCCCAAAAGATTTAAATCACTCTTGGTGACGTAACAAATTCCTGTGAATTTGATATCGCGGAAGGAAACAGAACATTCGAGTTCACCAATTAGTTTGAGGCGCCCACCACAGGCGCTGACAGCAGTCTGAGAAGTATTGGTGATAGGTGGTCTGCCAATATTATTCCAAAGTTTCTCTGATATAACAGTAATATCAGAGGCGGTATCTAGCTGCAGACGTGCATCATGACCATTCATCTGAAGGTCAAGATATTTCCGCATACATGGTGTTGTGACTTGACAGGTTGCGAGTAGACTCAATGACTCTTTGGAGATTTAGGACCAACATTTTGTTGAGCTTTTGCTGGATTTTGATATCTGGGTTTGCGTGGCTGACAAAAACCATTTTTATGACCGATGATCTTGCACTTGCTGCAACGATGATTTTTGTATGGACAAGACTTTACAAAGTGCCACGCGCCACAATGCCAGCATGGTGATGGAGGGGTCTTCTTTGTCGTATTTTGTGAAGTTGGACGAGTATGTGTAGATTTCCGCGGAACATTAGGAGAAGTAGGTGGGTCAGGAGTAGCTGATGAGAGATTTTTGCTCTTTCGTAATGCACGAATATCAGAGCTTCTCGAAGGTGTTGATTCGACCAGGTGTGTGTCTTTCTGCAGATTAATCAGCCGTTGATATTCATCAGCTATGTCATGTAATGTTAACTTGGGATTTTGTTCTAGCTGATTGAGCAGTCGAGTTCGGATATCTGTGAAACGAGGAGATTGGAGACTGCATATGAGAATCAAGGCTTTGAATTGATCATCTGTTAAGGACCTGAGTCGAAATCTCTCACATTCTCGGTTGACTGTGCCAACGTGAGTAAGAAAATCATCATTTTCATTCATTGCCAGCTTGAGGCAACGATAACGTATACTGAATAATGAGGAGTGGTCTCCAAAATGTTCACGCAGCAGCTTTATTGTATCATCGAAACAATTGTCACGTGGTTTCTGTGGTAAAATTAGGTTGCAGTACCGTTCATATTCTGCCGGACCCAATTTACGTAGCAAAACTCGCACCTTCCAGGCATCGTCTTGTGAGGCGAGATCAACAGTGAATAAATCCTCATAACGTTGATACCATGTGTCAAAAGTGACATTAGCCTCTGGGTCATAATTGAACTGTGAAATACTGTTCACAATGCCGTCGACAGATGGTAGCATGGTATGATTGGGATTGCTTGAAGGTGAAGCTGGACCAGTCTGTTGGTTGACGAACATTTCCATTAATTTCATTTGTCGTTCAAACAATAATTCCAATTTAGAAGGATCCATAGTAAATTGTTATGTTGCTGCTGCTGTGTGGTTAATAGTAGTTTTCCCCGTCGCCAAATTGTTATGTACTTGTCGCTAAATTATTGTTAGGACTATTAGTTTCTCGACCAGTCCATAACACTTTTAAATCCCTATTCCTCAGCAGTACGACTTCGCCCACAACCTTCAACACAATGCAGCCAACTAGCACTATAATGGTAGTTGCTTTAGGTTTAATTGCCATCCAAGCAACCTCTTTGGAATGGAAAGTCCTTCAGGGACACTAGTTCCAGCCAGTGTGGCTTATTGGTTCATTGCGATATGCAAGCCCGACAACAGGGTAGCAGCTATCGGGTGGGATTCATCTCTGGACTGATTTTCTTTTACCTAACCATCCTGCTCTCTTCTATAACTTTCCATGTGTCCATGGTGAGCCTCCTTCTTCTTGACTAAGATGTCTATAAAGGTTTTCTTCCAAGTCAATTTCCAATAATTCCGATGTTCTTGCAAGCAACTTTCGTCAGTGATGTTGCTTAACGCCTTCTACTTTCTTCTGATGATCTAAGTGAAAGTGACCTCTGTAGCTCTGTTCATCAGTTTCTTAGTGTTGGACTTGAAGTATAGATTGTCTCTAGTTTAGTTAAAGGCTTCCAACTTGATATTCATGGCTTCATCCCACTAGACAGTGGGTGACCTAACCTATGTCTACAGCGCTTCTTTACCTTGTATCCAATAAGCTGTTTCCGCTTCCTTCAGATTTAGACAAAGCCTGTCTGCTTTTCATGTCACCATCTGACCGGAATCTTGTCACTTATTGTTCACAGTTTTTTGTAGAAGCCCTCTCTCTTCCACCGGCCTGCGTTGCCTGTAGGTGCGTAACATTGTATAATTGTAACCTGCCTTCCTTTTCAGTTGAATCTTGATATTGTGATCATCGGAGGCATTTAACCCTTACAGTGTGGGAGAGTTCCATACATTTGAAAACATTATGATAGCCACACCTTTAGTGTGTTTGCGGTTACTGTCTACATGACAGCAGTGGATTATTGGTTCTCCAATTAACGATTTGTGAAGTCCACTTCATTTCCATATGATCTCACGGTATCATGACACTTTTATACCGTATCCTCTAGTTATTTCTGAAACTTGAGTAACCTTGAAGGCCTCAAACATCAGCTGAACTCAAATAGACCACAGTGCTATAAGGTAACGTTGGCGAAGGTCAGTAGAAGACCGCTGCTCCTTTCGGGAAGCGTGAGTAGAGTCTAATAACGCCCTGATCCCCGCACGTTTGTGCTTACGAATGGACGTACATAAAAATGTTGGCAGCAAACTAGTTACGTCCCCAACTAGACCAACCCACTGAGTCCCTACTTAAGAGAGAAATAACAAAAGGAGTATCTAGGGTCAACAGTAATACTACTCCTGAGGTAGGCTGGCACAACATGCAGTTAGCTGTAGACACAGCTGTAAAG